TACATATAGATTATGTGTATCTATACAAGAAATTAATTTATTAACCTACCAACTAGTTGTACGTGTTAGTATGGCATTGCTTTTATCATTATGAAGTGAATAAGGTTTTTTTAATTCCACCACCAGAAGAAGAAAAAGAAAAGAATCTTTAGAATATAATTATATTTTCTTAACAAATAAAATTATATGAAAAATAAATTAAAAATTAATTGAATGTTTCCAAAAAAATGACAAAATGAAAAAAAAATTATCTTACTTTTTTTAAAAATAAGAAATTACAAATCAAAGAAATCATATTTTTTCACCATCGAGTCTGTATGAAAAAAATTAATTAAATTTTTCACAAATTTTGCACGAAATCAATAAAAAAAAATCAAAAAATTGCTGGAAAAAATAAGGTTATTAATTTATCACAAGCAAATGTTAATTACATATAGATTATGTGTATCTATACAAGAAATTAATTTATTAACCTACCAACTAGTTGTACGTGTTAGTATGGCATTGCTTTTATCATTATGAAGTGAATAAGGTTTTTTTAATTCCACCACCAGAAGAAGAAAAAGAAAAGAATCTTTAGAATATAATTATATTTTCTTAACAAATAAAATTATATGAAAAATAAATTAAAAATTAATTGAATGTTTCCAAAAAAATGACAAAATGAAAAAAAAATTATCTTACTTTTTTTAAAAATAAGAAATTACAAATCAAAGAAATCATATTTTTTCACCATCGAGCTGTATGAAAAAAATTAATTAAATTTTTCACAAATTTTGCACGAAATCAATAAAAAAAAAATCAAAAAATTGCTGGAAAAAATAAGGTTATTAATTTATCACAAGCAAATGTTAATTACATATAGATTATGTGTATCTATACAAGAAATTAATTTATTAACCTACCAACTAGTTGTACGTGTTAGTATGGCATTGCTTTTATCATTATGAAGTGAATAAGGTTTTTTTAATTCCACCACCAGAAGAAGAAAAAGAAAAGAATCTTTAGAATATAATTATATTTTCTTAACAAATAAAATTATATGAAAAATAAATTAAAAATTAATTGAATGTTTCCAAAAAAATGACAAAATGAAAAAAAAATTATCTTACTTTTTTTAAAAATAAGAAATTACAAATCAAAGAAATCATATTTTTTCACCATCGAGCTGTATGAAAAAAATTAATTAAATTTTTCACAAATTTTGCACGAAATCAATAAAAAAAAAATCAAAAAATTGCTGGAAAAAATAAGGTTATTAATTTATCACAAGCAAATGTTAATTACATATAGATTATGTGTATCTATACAAGAAATTAATTTATTAACCTACCAACTAGTTGTACGTGTTAGTATGGCATTGCTTTTATCATTATGAAGTGAATAAGGTTTTTTTAATTCCACCACCAGAAGAAGAAAAAGAAAAGAATCTTTAGAATATAATTATATTTTCTTAACAAATAAAATTATATGAAAAATAAATTAAAAATTAATTGAATGTTTCCAAAAAAATGACAAAATGAAAAAAAAATTATCTTACTTTTTTTAAAAATAAGAAATTACAAATCAAAGAAATCATATTTTTTCACCATCGAGTCTGTATGAAAAAAATTAATTAAATTTTTCACAAATTTTGCACGAAATCAATAAAAAAAAAATCAAAAAATTGCTGGAAAAAATAAGGTTATTAATTTATCACAAGCAAATGTTAATTACATATAGATTATGTGTATCTATACAAGAAATTAATTTATTAACCTACCAACTAGTTGTACGTGTTAGTATGGCATTGCTTTTATCATTATGAAGTGAATAAGGTTTTTTTAATTCCACCACCAGAAGAAGAAAAAGAAAAGAATCTTTAGAATATAATTATATTTTCTTAACAAATAAAATTATATGAAAAATAAATTAAAAATTAATTGAATGTTTCCAAAAAAATGACAAAATGAAAAAAAAATTATCTTACTTTTTTTAAAAATAAGAAATTACAAATCAAAGAAATCATATTTTTTCACCATCGAGCTGTATGAAAAAAATTAATTAAATTTTTCACAAATTTTGCACGAAATCAATAAAAAAAAAATCAAAAAATTGCTGGAAAAAATAAGGTTATTAATTTATCACAAGCAAATGTTAATTACATATAGATTATGTGTATCTATACAAGAAATTAATTTATTAACCTACCAACTAGTTGTACGTGTTAGTATGGCATTGCTTTTATCATTATGAAGTGAATAAGGTTTTTTTAATTCCACCACCAGAAGAAGAAAAAGAAAAGAATCTTTAGAATATAATTATATTTTCTTAACAAATAAAATTATATGAAAAATAAATTAAAAATTAATTGAATGTTTCCAAAAAAATGACAAAATGAAAAAAAAATTATCTTACTTTTTTTAAAAATAAGAAATTACAAATCAAAGAAATCATATTTTTTCACCATCGAGCTGTATGAAAAAAAAATAATTAAATTTTTCACAAATTTTGCACGAAATCAATAAAAAAAAAATCAAAAAATTGCTGGAAAAAATAAGGTTATTAATTTATCACAAGCAAATGTTAATTACATATAGATTATGTGTATCTATACAAGAAATTAATTTATTAACCTACCAACTAGTTGTACGTGTTAGTATGGCATTGCTTTTATCATTATGAAGTGAATAAGGTTTTTTTAATTCCACCACCAGAAGAAGAAAAAGAAAAGAATCTTTAGAATATAATTATATTTTCTTAACAAATAAAATTATATGAAAAATAAATTAAAAATTAATTGAATGTTTCCAAAAAAATGACAAAATGAAAAAAAAATTATCTTACTTTTTTTAAAAATAAGAAATTACAAATCAAAGAAATCATATTTTTTCACCATCAGTCTGTATGAAAAAAAATAATTAAAATTTTCATAAATCTTGCACGAAATCAATAAAAAAAAAATCAAAAAATTGCTGGAAAAAATAAGGTTATTAATTTATCACAAGCAAATGTTAATTACATATAGATTATGTGTATCTATACAAGAAATTAATTTATTAACCTACCAACTAGTTGTACGTGTTAGTATGGCATTGCTTTTATCATTATGAAGTGAATAAGGTTTTTTTAATTCCACCACCAGAAGAAGAAAAAGAAAAGAATCTTTAGAATATAATTATATTTTCTTAACAAATAAAATTATATGAAAAATAAATTAAAAATTAATTGAATGTTTCCAAAAAAATGACAAAATGAAAAAAAAATTATCTTAATTTTTTTTAAAATAAGAAATTACAAATCAAAGAAATCATATTTTTTCACCATCAGGCTGTATGAAAAAAAATAATTAAAATTTTCATAAATCTTGCACGAAATCAATAATAAAAAAAAATCAAAAAATTGCTGGAAAAAAAAACGAACAAAAGAAAGGGGAAAAAAACCAAAGCCAGGCCTGAGCCTCTGGGCCTGAAAAAGACACAGGACCAGTTGACCTGGCCTTGTGGGACAAAAAGACAATGGACCACGCATCGTCTTTTTCAACACAGTAGATGATGCGTCATCCAATGTTGTAGTAAATAACCAGTAAAATTCCCAATTTTTTTAGTATTTTACTTAATTTGAATAGAAGTATTAGAAATACTTTATGACTTTTTTTTAAAAATTTCTCCAAACTTTGCCACCTCAATGACAACGGGCCTCATGGTTGGACGAAGTTTCAGTCCACTAATTACATATACATGTTCAAAGTCTCTAGCTTTGCCTAGGACCTCAGCGGCTCAGCCCATATTACACCAAATAAAACCAATCCATTCAGATACAAACCCCATCATGCTTCCATCCACCGAGAAACGAACACAGAATATTGCAGCTACTATTCCTTCATTGATTAAGGGTTACTTTTCCACATTATCATTCTGGTTTCAAATCTAATAGAAGATTGTAAAAAAGTGGTGCTATACAAACAAATAAATTTTATAAAATCCTCATAAAAATATATGTGATAATTTTTTTTTTAATGAAAAACCAATCATTTAAATAATTAACATCCACACTTTATCACTTATAAAAATTTACACATCAATTTCTATGAAAATTTTGTTTATATTATCATTTACAGATTGAAACATTTTACTTGTGAATGTAGTAGTATTGCACTCGTTAAAAAAATAAGATTGTAACTTAAGCAACAACCACCATTCTAACATTAATTTAATATTCATTAATCTCAGCATAATCTTATTAAATGTGTATAATAAAAATGCCAAAAGAGTTATCAATGCACCAAAATTCTTTATTTAATTGAACCCGATAAAATCAGAGTGAAAAATACTCAATACTTTGATAATAAAAATCAGGTCATTTAAAATTTTGTTCATAGGGTTTTGGCTATTGAGCAGTATAAAGTGGATCAGCTTGTTTATACAATTTTGATCCCATTTTTAAATCAAACTGTTTATAATTTGTCAATTCTGTGTACCAACAAAAACAATCCTCTTACGTGTGTGTGTGTATATATATATATATATATTATTTCTAAGATATTCTAAGCTTAAAGGCTCGATGAATTTCTTGTTATTCGATCGGATGCATAAAACGGATACAACTATTTAATAAGTTTTTTATATATAAAAAAATTTGAAATCGAAACTACTTGTTTAAATTATGAAAGCCCTTTTTACTCAATCTAATGATCTTGGATCATTTATATATTTTTTCTATCCACTCAACTTTCATTTTACAAAGACATGCAAAGAGAAGCTGCATGAATAAAACACAAAACCAGACATTTTGTTTTTTTATTTCATAGGTAATAAGAACAAGATTCTTACATATTTCCCCTTACTTTTAAACAATTGAATTAAACTACAAACAGTAACAAATCTCATAATACCAATAACTTTCTTTGTTGGTAATAATAATAGAAAAAGTACGTAAGCTGTCCCAAATTTTCCCATAGGAAACCTAGAGTACAACAATTAACTTTTCATGATTTTCAAATTAATTCCGTCAAATTTACTTTAAACGTTTGATAACATATTTTGTCGACTATAAGATTCAACAGTACCAAACTCGTCACTCATAATCGAAGATCCAATATTAATCGCAGAAGGATCGGAAGAATCGGAAGAATCATCATCATGATCACCAGCATTAGGATCAGTACTATTATTGTTGCTAGTGTCACGATTAGCATCAGGATTGATAATGCTTTGCACAAACATCTGACCAACCTGTTGTGCAGCCCCATCTACAAAACCTTGAACCATCGCATCCATTACGGTGCCATTTCCAGCCCCATTTGGCTGTTGATAGCTAGCCTCCTGCTGCTGCTGTTGCATAGGCTTAGCTGATCCCATGCTTTGGCTGTGCGTAAAAACATTAACGCCTCCAGGTTCAGGCTGCTGCTGGTACTGAATATTGACATTATTGTTCGCTACTGGTAAAGAGTTGCCATGCTGAAGATGGGGCAACGGTGCAACATTAACACCCATTGCACACTCCATATGTGCGTCAAATTCGCAAGCACCACACCGATAAAGCCAATGTTTAGACCCTATCTTGTGGCATATATCACAAGAGAAACCTTCGGTTTGGTAAGGAGGATAAAAGGCGAGGTTAATCTGGTGAGGATGAGATTGATGAGCAAACGAGAGCGGATTTGTGGCACACATCATGTGTAAATCAAAACCACAGGTGGTGCAACGGTAGCTAAATCCGTTTCCTTGGCGGCCACAACCGTCACAGTTGAATGAACCACCAGGGTAAACTGGGGTAGAGAAGAGGGCTAAATGGTGGATGGGGTGGGAAGGATGGGTTATTAAAGTTGGCATTTGGGTGCATGAGATGTGGAGAGTGAAGTTACATGGCTTACAAGATTACATCCATCCAGAGGGTTGGAGACTACAAGCAGAACAGGATGTTATGTATAGAGATTGAGAATTGGATAGCTCTAAGGGATGAGGAAGGCTAAAGTGGGTAATGTATGGATCATGGTTAAGCTTCCCCATCTTTCTGATCTCTCTGCTCTTTTCAGCAGGTATATTAATTAGGAGAGAGATGAAGAGGTGTTAATTATCTCTGAATTAGCTTGCTAGCCCTAACTAGGCAAGTGTAGAGATTGATCAAGGGAGGAGACTTTCGAATATTGTGTGCCTGGCTTTGCAAGGTAGATGGCATGCATGTGCTAGCTAAGTCAACTAGACGCGTTTTTATAATTCTCAGCCTACTAATTAGTTGACTTTTGAAACAAATTAATCAAAGAAAATGCCAAGGATCCAAGTTTGATTTTCCGTTGGCTTTAATTTGCTGCCATTGGTAGGTATTATAGCTAACTTGGCTGATATGATACTTAATTTGAAGCTGTTTCAGGTATTCATTACTATCTCTAAGTGTAATGAGGCCGAAGATCGAGAGAAGAGAAAACCTTGAATTGGTTGGCTATTTGTTCATGAACTCATTACTGAGTACGAGGCTATAGAATTCAGTAAAAGTTTCAAGTTCAGGCCTTATGGATAAAATAGTCGTAATATCCTTGAACTTTCATATGCCCTTATATATATAAGTGAATAACCCCGGCCCCTCTAAACATTGTGAATTATTAGGTTTTAATGACCTGATTTTATTCTATCAGAACATCTGTTTATATATGCAAAAACGTCCTAAACATTAGGACATATTTCTTGCTTTAAGAAAAAAATCTTGTCTAATCTATTCTAAATAAAGAAACAAATACATAGTCAATTACATATTGATTTACAGCCTAATTCATAGCTATTTTATAGCTAAGAATCCCTAATTATTTATCATACCTAGCTTGAAACTAGGATCTTTAAAATGCACCATTAAAAGTGCTTTAGTTAGGATATTGATGGTTTGTAGATTAGAAGGAAAGTAGGTTTGATTACTCTCCTTTCTATCTTTTCTATGATAAAATGCCAATCTATTTTTAGCATTACATATGTTTATATACATATGCTTGGTATGGTATCTTTAATTCAGCTGATATTCTTTCCACCTAGATTCCTTCATAAATAACATGAGCCATTTCCCAAATTTTGCTTCGGCACTACTCCTAGCTATCATAGCTTGCTTTTTACTCCTTCAAGTTGCAAAATTTCCCCAAATGTAAATACAATATCCAGAAATGGATCATCTATAAATGATTAAGCTCGCCTGATCCGCATGAGAATATAATTTCACTTCCCTACTTGAGTTCTTTCTAAAGAATAGTCCTTTACCTAAAGTCATTTTCAAGTATCTTAAGACTCGTACACCAATGTCATGTGTTTTTCGCAAGGTTGTTCATGATCGGCTAACAACACTTACCGAAAATGCTATATCTAGCATAATATGTGATGGATAGATCAACCTCCCTACGAGTCTTTGATATCTTTCCTAATTTATAGGAGCACTCGTCCTTATTAGACCCAATTTTGGTGGTGTAGTAGATAGGTGTCTCTGGAGGTGTAGTATATAGGTGTTTATGGAGGTTTACCCACGCACACTCGTTTCTTTTAGAAAATCTAGTACATACTTGTAACCCTCGTAAAATCCGTAATCGTATAAGTGTACGTATCGAGATATTTATATTCGTATATATATATATATATATATATATATATATATATATATATATATATATATATATATCGGTTACGTACGTGAAAATCACGTAACCGAGTCAACATATGTACTTGGAATATGTGGTATATACGTATTTTTTGAGAGTAAGCGGTGTACGTCAATAAAAAAAACGTTGGGTAAATTAGTTAGAAAATTTCTTTTATATGGAATAAGTATAAATTAGAAAAAACAAAGTGTTAATTGCCAAAATTTTGGAAGGAATTCTAAAAATGTAGTTAATTTAATTATCCTCATTTAATCACATTTTGGCCCCTACTTCTATAAATTTTCATTGACCATCACCTCTTCCTCGAAATTTAAACCCATCATTTCATTAATTTCAGTCACATTTACCTTGCATTTCACTACAAGTTCTTGACACTTGTAATGAGCATTAAATGGATGAGATTAGATGAGATATTTAAGTAAAAAAAAATAGGATAAAGATGCATTTTTGGTGCATCCCGTAGCTTCCTTAAAGCCAGGAAAGAAAAAGTGAAAGAGAGGGGAGAAAGAGAAAAAAAGGGAAGGAAGAGAAGGGGAAAAGAAAGGAAAAAGAAAGGGAAACTAAAAGGAAGCAAAAGAGATTTTATGAAAGTTAATTCAATGTAAGTAGGTTTCATTTTTTTCTTGCTTTATTTATGCCTTCCATGTTTATTTTATAAGTTGTTAATTCATGTAAAATGTGATTATGGTATTTTGTGATGATTTTAAACACTTGATGTTTGATAATGGATGATTATGCATGTGTAATGAGAAATGTGCTTTAAGAGAAGATTTCTGGATTTTAGGGTGGAAAAATCAGAAATTTGTGTAATTTATTTCGGGATCTTAGAGTTATTTTTAGGAACACTGCAAAGAATAAAAGTTGTTGATATATGTATCTACTATGTCTCTTTAAAATTTTATGATTTTTAGAAATATATATATAGAGTCATGACTCGACTTGGTATGGATCATTCGAATGGACTACCTACTGAAAAAATATTTCATTCCGAAAGTTGTGTGATTTATTTCGAGATCATAGAGTGGTTTTTGGACAGAAATCAAAGAAGAAAAGTTTTTCATCTATGTGTCTACTAGATGTATATAAAATTTCGTGATTTTTAGATCTGTATGTAAAGATTTATGACTGATTTGGTACGGATCATTGAATGGACCAGCTACTCGAAAAAGATTATTTAGTTCCGAAACTTGTGTGATTTATTTAAGGATTTTAGAATAATTTTTGAAGAAAACTCAAAGAATGAAAGTTGTTGATCTATATGTCTAATATCTCCCCTTAAAATTACATGAGTTTTAGATATATATATATATATATATATATTTAAGGAGTTATGGCTGATTTGGTATAAGTTATTTAGGTGTACCACTCGTTGAAAAATTTTTAACCTAAAATAAATGGGCTTGGATTAATGGTAATGGGCTTGGACTTGAGTTGAAATGAGATGGGCTTGGAATTACAAATAAAGTGGACTTAGATTAAAATAAATAGACTTGGGCTTGGATTAAAATAAATGGGCTTGGATTAATGGTAATGGGCTTGGACTTGAGTTAAAATGAGATGGGCTTGGAATTACAAATAAAGTGGACTTAGATTAAAACAAATGAACTTGGGCTTGGATTAATGTTAATGGGTTTAGACTTAAATAAAATAAACTTAGTAATGGACTTGGACTAAAATCAAAAGGCTTGGTTTTAAAGTAGATGGGCTTAGACTAATGGAAATGGGCTTAGGCTAAAATAAGTGGACTTAGATAGAAATAAAAAGGATTTTAAAATTTTAAAGAAAATTTATTCTTTCATAGAGGAAAAAAAAGAATTGGACCTTCTTTAATTCTTAATGAAACTAATAAACAATATTAATGAGCGGAGGTTGTGTTCCCGCTATGAGTACCATGATTGGTATGTGAGCGCCAAGTGAATCCCGAGTGATGGTTGGACCGTGAGTATGGCTTAAGAAAGAAGGGCTAGTACCCGAGTTTGGTTGAATGTGATTAAACATATCATCATGTGCATTTGAGGTGAAAATAAATTGAGAAAAATCATTGAGTCTTGAATTGACACGGTTTGGTAACCGAATTAAGTGGATTGGGTAATAGCAAGGAATCCATAGTGCGAGCTCTATTTACTAACACCGTTAAGCGAAGGATAATTTCGTTAACTATGTGCTACAACAAGGGATAATTCCGTTGCGAGCGATAGGTGATATTGAGATCACCGAGAGAAAGTAATAGAGCGATAGGTGATCACATGATCATCGAGAAATTGGGCGCATGGACTTGCATATACCTAGGGTACCCGGATTAAAATGGATGAAAATATAAGAAACAGAATAGCATTGCATATCACGTGCATCACCCTACTTACCGAGCTTTGGCTTATTCCGTTATTGTATTTGTGTGTTGTTCGAGCAAGGGTAAAGTTAAGTCGATCGAGGATGCTATCGGTTCTCGCTAAAAGAGGCTCATGTGTCACTCATAAAAATAGAAATATCTTTTGTGTCATTAAAAAGGGGTACGAGCCTATGACGTAAATTTTTAGGCATTTTGAATATGTTATAAATTATAGAACTATCTCGTAATAATGTTGTATATTATATCATACGTTTCCCATGGTTTAGTTTACGTTGTGTATGATGGAGGAAGTAGGAGACTTAGTCCCGACGAGTGTGTCGCGCCTGGTCACGTTTGTTAGGTGATAGGTAAGGGAGCCGAGGCGTCACACATACTTCTTTTGAGAGACCGCAATGCCTTGCTTAGACTTAGCCATTTCCATTCCCGATCAATATGTGAGTTTACCTAAATCCTTGATCTCAAATTCTTTATTTAGAAATTCTTTGACTCTTAAAATCTCCTCGAGCATAATCCCATGTTAGAATAATGTCATCAACATAGATAATTAACATAGAAATTAGTCCTTTTGAAGAATTTTTTACAAATATTATATGATCAAATTGTCCTTCTATGTGTTTATTACTATTTATAACTATATAAATCTCTCAAACCAAGTTCGGATGATTGTTTGAGATCATAATTAAAGTGACTTCTTTAGTCAACATATTTTGTTGATGTTTGATGAGTTTTGTAGTCCTCGGGAATGTCTATATAGATCCTTTTCTAGATTCTCATTCAAGAATAAATTCTTGACATCTAGTTGATGGAGGGGCTAATGCAAATTTGTTGCAAGAGAGTATTCAAAATGATGCTAAGTTTTGCAACCGTAGCTAAGGTCTCTTTATAATTTATGCTATATGATTGAGTAAATCTCTTAGCTACTAACCGAGCCTTATATCTTTTAATACTACCATCTATTTTTATTTTTACATTAAAGATCCACTTGTACTCGATCACATTCTTTCCATAAGACGAATCAATAATTTCCTAAGTACCATTCTTCATTAGAGTATTAACTTCTTCATTGATTGCCTTCTTTCATTTCAAGATAGCCATGGCTTTTTGTATTGAGTTTGGAATGGATATAAAATTGATTTTGCTAGTGAATGATTGGGAAGATAAAGATAGTCCCTCATAGTTGCCAATAAGGTACAATGACCTACTTTTGCATTCTCTCACCCCTTTTCTAAGTGCAATGGGTAGATTCTCTTGAAATTACCAAGATCACTTGAACTAAAATCTATATAATTTTCCTCTATAATTTGTAAATCAAATGTCGGGATATTTACCTCGGGTTCGGATGCTAGCAATAACTGATAAATCTACTAGAGTCTCCGATTCTTTCAAGTTTCTCCTTTTTTCTATGATAAACAATTATCTTAGGAGATGTAGAATCAATTCGTTGTATTTTAGATTCAAGTTGGACACTTGAAGATAGGGTAGAAGTAGTTTTAGGTGTTTTTGGTCCGCGATTTATGCTTTCCAATAAAAATCGATATTTTTATGGTTGACTCTAACTAAAACTCTCCTCCTAAATATTAGTTTTGGGGTAATAGGGTTTTTTTTTAAAAAAAGAACATATTGTATCCATTGTGTGATAAAACTTTTGGTTGTCAAGAAAGAAGCATTTGTAACTTTTTTGATTTGAAGAGTACCATACAAAGATATATTTGGTGGATCGAGAGTCAAGTTTCGTTCGATATTATTGATAGATATATACAAACACAATACACCTATCTTTTTTTAGAGGAATGTAAATTAGCCGACTTTGAGGAAAGTGTTGTAAAAATACTTCATTTAGAATGGAAGAATCTAGTACTTTGGATGAAAGTCGATTGATTAGGTATGTTGTTATAAGTACAGACTCCACCTTAAAAATGTTTTGAAACATTAGATGAAAATAACCGAGACTTGGCAATATTCAAAAGGTGTTTATTCTTTCTTTAGACTATCCCATTTTGCTTAGGGGTATCTACACATGAACTTTAGTGTATGATTCCCTCAATTGATAGATATGAGTCAAGATTAGAATTAAAAAATTCTTTTTTGTTTAAGTTCTAAGTATTTGAATGAAAGTTTGAAATTAATTTTTAATTATTATGTTAAAATTCTTAAATATTTTAGGAATTTTTGATTTATTTTTCATGAGAAAAATTCATGTGAGTCAAGTATGATCATTTATGAAAGAGGTGAACCACCAAGCCCTTATGACATTTGGAACTTGAAATGGGCCTTAAACATCACTATGGATTATAGAAAAAGGTTTTGATGATTTATATGGCCGAATAGGTATAAACCGCAAATGTGTCTTACAAATTGAAAATTTTCATACTAAAAAGAACTATCACTTTTATTTTTGAATAAACTTGGTAACATATGTCACGAATAAGGTTATGTCGAGTCACCGACATTCTTATTGCTAGATGCCACTCATTATTTGTGATTATAAATTATGATTTTAAGATCATTGCCAACGTAATAAGAACCTATAGGGTTACATACAAAGAACGACTCGAAATTGGAGTATGACTAGAAATCCTAATTGAATTATTCTTAATCGAGTTAAGATTCCTAATTGCATTAGGATTCGTAGTCCAGCTTAAGATTCCTAGTGAGACTAGGATATCTCACTAGGAATCTTAACTAGACTAGGATACGTTTTAGATTATAGTATTTAATTACACTAATTGATTAAGACATATAAAATGGGCTTAATGAATTCCAAGTCCAAGGTCGTTGGACATTAATTTGTCAAAATAATTAGCCCATGTTTCTCTCTCTCCTTAGGGTTAGAAAATTAGTTTCCTAGTAGGACTATGACTCATACACATTCTAGTTATTGTAGAATACAAATAGCACGTAATACTTATTTATATAAGGATATTGTGTGAGATAGAAATTCTAAGAAAACCTTGAGAGAAACCCTGAGAGGAAGATTGATCCAACCTTTAAACACCAAAACTCATAGCCAGCACTTTGACTCGAGGTGACTCTCCATTCCGAATTGTTCCGGTGATCGAGACATTCGTATGGATACCAATAAAGGTGCAGTTCATTGATTTGTTCTCATGATTCGAGCATCCTTCAGTGTAAGAGACGTGATCTACGCTACAAGAGATAATGATTTGATCCCGTGACTTCGTTGTTTTTGCATGGATCATATGGTGTTTCGAAGTAAATTTTTTTATTATGATATTATTTCCGCCGCATTGATTGTTTTTACATCACTTCGAATCCCTACAATAGCCTACTTTTGCATTCTCTCACTCCTTTTTTAAGTGCAATGGGTAAATTCTCTTAAAATTACCAAGATCACTTGAACTAAAATCTATAGAATTTTCCTCTATAATTTGTAAATTAAATGTCGAGATATTTACCTCGAGTCCGGATATTGACGGTAGCTATAAATCTGCTAAAGTCTCTCGATTCCTTCAAGTTTCTCCTTTTTTCTATGATAGACAATTATCTTAGGAGATGCGGAATCAATTAGTTGCATTTCGCATTCAAGTTGGACACTTGGAGATGGGTTAGAAGTAGTTTCAAGTGTTTTTGGTGTGCAATCTATGCTTTTCAATAAAAGCCGATATTTTTATGGTTGACTTTAACTAAAACCCTTCCGTTAAATATCAGTTTTAGGTAATAGGTTTTTTTTTAAAAAAAATATAGCATCCATGGTGTGATAAAACTTTTGGTTGTCATGACAAAAGCATTTGCAATTTTTTTGGTTAGAAGAGTACCATACAAAGATATATTTGGTGGATCGAGAGTGTCAAGTTTGGTTTGATATTGTTGATAGATATACACAAACACAATACACCTAAATTTTTTTAAAGGAATAAAAATTAGCCGACTTTGAGGAAAGTGTTGTAAAAATACTAATAGTCAAATCAAGGATTAAAATTTAGTCAAAGCATGATAGTTTAAGGTTAAAATTGATCAAATTAATAATATAGCTCTCAATTTATCAAAATTCGAATAGTTTCCTTAGGAGCAAAAAATACCGTTAAGCGTTTAAGGAGGTCTCTAGTATGAACCTCTCTTCTGTTAAAAAAAAAGAAAAAAGGGGGAATGTGACATTTTTATCGTATTAGAATAAGTTGATTTCACAAAATTAACCTCATTGTTATTTATCTTTGTATTGGTTGATCAATTTCTACAATTCAAATAATACTATTTTTTTCCTTCCCTTCGTGGTTAACAAGAACAGAACAAGATTCTAACAAGTAAATTATAAATTAGTCTTTCTAGTTTAAAAACAAATTAATCAGTCCTCTGTGTTTTGAAAACAAATTATACATTTCTCTAAAATAGAGGGACTAATTTATAATTTACTCGGAGAGTAACACTTTCCCTGAGGAAAAAAAAAAAAAAAACTGGATTAAACTTATAACAAAGTACTTAACTGAACTTATAACACCAATAACTTGAATCCATACATGTTTTCTTTTTTCCTGATAGGACTGTAGTTAACCTTTCACGATCTTCAAAATCCATCAAACCTTTGATTAATTTTATGAATTATCAGAGTCACCACCAAACACAGCACTCAAAATGGAAGATCCAATACTAACTGTAGAAGGATTGGAAGAATCATCACCATTATTGTTGCCAGTGCCACCATTAGCATCAGGATTGATGATGCTTTGCACAAACATTTGACCAACCTGTTGTGCAGCCCCATCTACAAAACCTTGAACCATTGTATCCATTATGGTGCCATTTCCTGCCCCATTAGGACCCCCATAGCTAGCCTCCTCCTGCTGCTGCTGCATAGGCATAGCTCCCATGCTTTGGCTGTGCCTGTAAACGTAATCGCCACCTCCAGGTCCAGGCCGCTGCTGGTATTGAATGTTGACACTGTTGGCTGCTGGTAAAGAGCTGGTATGCTGAAGATGAGGCAAAGGCGTATTATTAACTCTCATTGCACACTCCATATGTGCATCAAACTCGCAAGCACCACACCGATAAAGCCAATGGTTAGATCCTATCCTGCGACAAATATCACAAGAAAAACCTTTGGTTTGGTAAGGAGGATAAAAGGCCAGGTTAAGCTGGTGAGGATGAGATTGGTGAGCAAGCGAGAGTGGATTTGTGGCACACATCATGTGTACATCAAAATCACAGGTGGTGCAATGGTAGCTAAATCCAGTTCCTTGTCGGCCACAACCATCACAGTTGAACGAGCCACCAGGGTAAACAGGAGTAGAGAAGAGGGTTAAAGGGTGGATGGGGTGGGAAGGGTGGGTTATTAAAGCTGGCATTTGGGTGCATGAAATGTGGAGAGTAAAGTTACATGGCTTACAAGTGTACATCCAGCCAGAGGGTTGGAGATTGCAAGCAGAACATGAGGTTATGTAAATAGATTGAGAGTTAGATAGCTCTAAGGGATGAGGATGGCTAAAGTGATTGATGGTTAGATCGTAGCTTAGCTTCCCCATCTCTCTCTCTCTCTCTTCTTTGTGTCTGCAAGGATGCTAGGAGAGATATAATTGAAGATGTGTTTTTCTGCTTGATTGTCTTGCTAGGGCATAGATTGATGAAGGGAAGAAGACTTCTGAAATATGCGTGGCGAAGAATATGGTGTGCTTGACTTTGGAAGCTAGAGGATATGCAAGCTAGCGAAAGTCAACTAAACGCGTTTTCCGATCTCTGCCTATTAAGTTGACATTAGAAAGAAAGTGACCAAAGGAGAATTCAAGGAATTAACCAAGTAAGATTGGTGTCTATTCTGGAATCTGGATTCATTCGTCTTAATTTGGTGTCATTAATTGGCGGGTAGTATGATTTGTTTAAAGGTATAGGGAATCAAATCTCGCATCCAAATTAAGGAAGGGATTGAGAGAAATAGCTAGTCAATTTATCAACACCTAATGAAATCTCTTAGAAGAAAATTTATTAATTATATGATAATGCAAGTTATTCTTACCATTTGTTTCCACTTATCTTCTGATATCTGAAACTTTTATATGATTAATTGAAGTTTACTGTATCATGATCCAAATTTGAAATTGTTTAAGTATACTAACACATGACATTTATGTTAAACCTTTTTTTAAAAAATATATAATGGATCAACTCTACTTATATACAATTATATAAAATTAATCAAAAGAAAATATACCATTTGTCGTTATATGATACCAAAAATCTATCGTCTATCCTTAATTTTTTAAATTGTATCTCATATATTTAAAAAAAAATTAAAATCTTTAATCTATTTTTTCGATCAATTTTTTTAGTCATAATTTTTTTTAATCAAAATGCTCCCGATTGAAATGCAAAATAATAATAAAATAAAATTCTAAAGACTTTTAAAATAGAACATACATGTCATATGACTTTAATATATATATATATATATATTGCATTTTAATAAAGTAAATTTGGGTAAAAAAAATTTATCTATGGTCCTAAAAATTGATCGAAATGATGGATTGAACATTTAAAAAATTTTCAGAGATAGATTTGATGTAATTGAAAATTTAAGAATAGATAAAAAAACTTAGATTATTATATAAGTATTTTTTTAGTCATAAATTTTTTTTATCAAAATGCTCCCGATTGAAATGTAAAATAATAATAAAATAAAAATTTAAAGACTTTTAAAATAGAACATACGAGTCACATGACTTTAATATTTTCTTTTCATTTCAATAAAGAAAATTTTGGTAAAAAAATTTATCTATGGTCCGAAAAATTGATCGAAATGATAGATCGAATATTTAATAAAAAACTCAAATGTGACTAAAAAAATTTTTTAGTCATGATATTTCTTTTATCAAAATGCTCCTAATTGAAATACAAAATAATAATAAAATAAAATTTTAAAGACTTTTAAAATAGAACATATAGGTCACATGATATATATATATATATATATATATATATATATATATATATATATATATATATATATATATATATATATATATTGCATTTTAATAAAGGAAATTTTGATAAAAAAAAATTATCTTTAATCCGAAAAATTGATCGAAATGATAAATTGAATATTTAAAAAATTTTCAGAGACCGATGTAATGCAATTGAAATTTTAAAAACATATAAAAAAAACTTAGATTATTATATAAAAATAAATAGATATATTTATTCTAAAATAAATTATTCAATGTTTTTGTTGAAATATAAAATTATTGATTTTTATACGCTTCAATATGATCAATTAGATGTTTAAACATTCGATTGAAACACAAAAGTCAATAACTTTGTGCTTCTACTAATGACATTCAAAATCGCTCCTCATTATAAATTATTGGTTCACGTGCCCTACCTTTGACAAAAAATGGTGTAAGCTAATTGTGAAATGTAGACACAGGAAACTATTGTGCTAGTCAGCAGACTAAGTTCTATAAACGGGCCGGGTTCGAGATCCACAGGCCCTACATTTTCTGTTTTGGAATTATGGACTTTCCAATCAGGCCCATTTTTATTTACATTTTACATTTGCTTCTTATAAATATAATTAATTCCGGAGAAGTAAGAAATATTATATTAGAAAAAATTATATTACAAAACTTGTAATATTTTTAGCATTATTTATTTTAAATCCTACTGATTTGGATATTAAAATAAACTAGTATTAAGGTGGATAGAAAAAAATACATGCAAAAAATATATTGATAAATCTCTCTTATTATTATTTAATTTATTTATTTTTATTTGCACAGGCAGCAATCATCACTTACAGTTCTCAGTAATTATGTCAAACCTATGGCGTTGCAAAGTAGCTAGTCATGCAGTTCTAAAAATAGTAACATCTACAAATGGGCCTAACGGTCCATAACATGCTTCAAGTCCCGCAGTCTGATTGGACCTTTATTTTGTAACCAGATCTTTGCAGATCTTTATGGGCCTTCCTTGTTCATAATCCAATGAAGAGGGAAAATAAATTTTCCATTTCCTTCTTACTGATTCTTGCGCGAATATACACGAAAATATATTTCTAAATGTTTTTTTCCCTAAGGTCTAACAATGTATTATTAGTTATTCTCAGATAAAAAAAAAAACAAAAGGGTGTTATTGCCCAACGTATAAGTGCCTACAGCATGAAAAAAATAGAGGGATTAAAAAAAAAATCAAAATTAACACCAAAGAAATTACGGAAGAGCGATGAAAAGATTATCCCCACCATGGCCAGCCCCGGCTGCAGATCCTTGAATTATTGCATTTTAGACGGTGCAAGGCTCACCTGTCACCATTACACCATGCAGGACTTTCACATTTTTATTCTTCTTTGCTTTTTTTTTTTTTTTTTTTTTATTCAGCATTAAGGGTGTCCGGGTCAATTTTTACGCACCTCAATATTAATCATTCCTTAAGTGTGGCTAATGAGCACTTCCCAATACACGGTCTCAAGTCCTCAAATCAGCTTTAGCCTCAGGTATTTTGAAAATACAGTTCATAAAAATTGAATCATGAACTTAGTATACAAATCAACACTTGTTTAATAACGGGTTATTACCTATTCTTATTAGCTTTTTAATCACGTGCATAATACGTGTATTATTTAATTACATATTTAACATTATTTTTTTTTTATGAATGGATTCGATAATTAATAATTAGAAAATATAGAGTACATATATATTTATTATAAGAACTCTTAAAAAATAATCTTTAAAAATTCTTATAGTTCTCTTATAAGCATTGTAAAAAATGTCAGGTAATTTAACCTGCATGCGAAAGCAAATTTTATTACATATATCATAACAAATTAATCACCAAATTAAGCAAAGTTCTTTCCATCCTTTCTCTTGAATCAAATCCAGATGATGAAATCCTTTTAGATTAATCTTTAAAACAATTACTTTTTTCTTGTTCGATACAAAATGATAAAATAATCTTTTCATTTGAAAAATAAAAAAAAGGATTTAATTAGAACAGATTCCATTGAATTTGTTACTGAGAGATACAATAACATGAGTTATGAATAAAACGTTAATGACATTGAGAATTATTTTTTATGAATAATAAATTTATTCAATTCAAGTATGCATAGTTATTTGAAACCTCATTAGAAAATAGCTTAACCGTTATGTACTCAACTATCTTTTCTAATTAAATAAGATTTGAGTCCTGATAATTTTAGTTTTTTTAATAATTATGTAATAAAAAATGCTACTTTCATTATATAAACCAATAAGTTTATTGGATCGCCAATGAATCAAAAAATACTATTATGCTAAAACCATAAAAGAGCATGGAGAGAAATACCATATCAATATTTACTATGGCTTTGCGGTACTTATAAAATAATTGAGTATGGTTTTGTCCAACCTAAACAACTTTTTCTCATGGATGCATTTAAAAAAAACACAAATTTTTTAGATTCTCTTAGGTATCCCAGATTAAAAAACTTAGACTGATCCCTTATATTTCTTATATTTTTGTTCGATATTCAAGACGAAAATAATTATCTAGAGATTTTTTTGCATATATAAAAAGCATTTGATTTTTTTTTTTTTTAGAGGCAGCCGAAAGCTGGCTCGCAGGCCAAGTGCGCTGGCCTGTCCTGCCACACAGGGCCTGGCATTAAAAAAAAACCAGGCGTGAGGCCGGCCTATATATATGTATCAACCAGGCGCTTATATATATAAGCCTGAACCTGCGCCTGGTTGGTGTATATATATATATATATATATATATCAGGCCTCTTTTTTATTTTTTAGCCTGAGCCTGGCCTCTTTTTTATGTTTTTTTCTTCCTATGAAATTACTAAAAAAAACTAAAAGATTTGAGTTTGTTATTATTCATTTACTGTAATATATATATATATATATATATATATATATATATATATATATATATATATTTTTCCCCTTTTCTCGTGTGTGTGTGTGTCTATATATATGTGTGTGTGTATTATCATAAAATTAGGTGTGAAAAATATTAATAACTAAAATAAATTGAACTAGAATTTACTTTATTAAAGTAAGTTCTTGATTTAAAAATTTACCTTGATTTTTTTCTTAAAATAATCATGTGATACCTTTCTACGAGATGGACTAATAAATTAATTAACTAGGAAGCAAAATTAATCAACTTAGAAGTATTACTTATAAACTAAAACGCGTGATGGTTTCACTGTTCGAATGAACAATGAAACCATCACGCGATTGTACTATTTATTTGAACAATATATATATATATATATATATATATATATATATATATATATATATATATATATATATATATATATATTACTTTACCCTCAAGTATATTACTCAATCTTTTTTTTTCCTTCTTTTTTAATTTTCACTCTTACTTATTTTCTTTTTTTTTTAGTTTTTTAAATTAAATTATTTCATTTTGATTCCTAAAATTTTAAAATAAAAATTTTAATCCCTAGCCGATGCACTATATGTCATCTTTTTTCTTTGGTTTTTTTTTCTCATCAATTTATGTTCTTTTTTTTATTTGATTAAGTGTTAAAAATTTTAAAAATCGATTATTATTTTTTTCCACTCGGCTCGATGATTTACTTTACCTTCACACTATACTACTCAATCTTAGTTTTTTTTTTTTCCTTTTTTTAAAAATTTTCACTATTACTTTTTTATTTATTTTTTAAAAAGTTTTACTCTTATTATTTAAAATTTATTTCTTTAATTATTTATTTCTTATTAAAATTATAATCAAATTAACTTTTTGATATAATTTTATTTGTTAATAAACTCGGTTTTTTAATATATGAATTTTGGAATAAAATTTTAGAACATCGGTTTTTTTAAAATATATTATTATAATTTATATAATAAATTATTTTTATGCTTTTTAAATGAGTGTTTTTTTAAAAAAATATATTATTATAATTTATAAATTCTGATTATATATATATTAGAAATTAACTATATATCCGTATACATAATACCCATTTTTATTTATTAATTTTTATATATTCTAAATTTTTTTAAAAATAAAATAAGTTACATAATGTTTTGAAAGAACTTCCCAATTATTTAAATACAAATTTTTATGCTAATATTATTAAATATTTTGTTAATGAATCTATATATAAATCATGCGATTTCACTCAATATATACATTCGATTTACATTAATTATCGAAAATAAAACTTTTACTCGCGAGTATACCATACGAATCGTTAACGATATGTATATAACGGGTGTCTAACCACAACGTAACATGGGTATACATCTAGTTCAATCTATTAGAACTCCTTACATTCAAATCAATTTTTTAATAAAAAAATAATAATTTTGACCATGGCTTAAGTATCAGTAAATGCGGCAACATGACTAATGACGTCGATATTCAATAGTTTAATTAAATCATTAGTAGTAGAAGTGATGTCACTTATTTCCTCAGATTTTGGAGTTCCAATCTTTTTTTTTCTTGTTAAAAAAAAAAAACAATAAGATCAGTGTTAAAAAAAAAAAAATTCCTTCTATTTCTTTACCTTCTATACGTCGTGGCCCTCATTTTATGTTATGGAAAACATAAAATATTTGACTTTTGGTCTCACAACGTCATGTATGATCGTATTATTTACTGGAAGTAAATTATAAATTAGTACTTTGGTTTTAAAATCTAATTATTTAATTATTTTAATTAGTCTTGACAATAATTAATTTAATATTTTTTATTTTTTAAAATGTATCTTTTCTTATCAATTTTTTCTATAATTTTTTTATTTATTTTTTATATTTCTTTAAAAAAATACAAAAAAATAAAAAAACTGAATGATTGGGTTTTGAAACTAGAGAGACTAATTAATTTATTTTTTAAAATGATAGGGACTAATTAATAATTTACTTTTACTTTTCCTCGTCTCAACCATTGCCAACCATTGCCTTTATATTGTTGTTGAGATAATTGCAGTATGAATATATTAATTTTCATTTTTTTTCAATTGTGCATATAAATTTTTTTTTGTTTGAGTATATTAATTTTTTTAAAACTATCAATCAAGAATTTTCATCAAATTTTTTTATTGACTTTCCAATCAGGCCCATTTTTATTTCAATTTTACATTTGCTTCTTATAAATATAACTAATTCTGGAAAAGTAAGAAATATTATATTATAAAAATTGTGATATTTTTAGCATTATTTATATTAAAATGCTACTTATTTGGATATTAAAATAAACTAGTATTAAGGTAGATAGAAAAAAATACAAGCAAAAAATATATTGATAAATCTCTCTTATTATTATTTAATTAATTTATTTTTATTTCCACAGGCAGCAATCATCACTTACAGTTCTCAGTAATTATGTCAAACCTATGGGTTGCAAAGGAGCTAGTCATGCAGTTCAAAAAAATGGTAACATCTACAACTGGGCCTATCGGTCCATAACATGCTTCAAGTCCAGCATTCTGATTGGACCTTTATTTTGTACCAAATCTTTGCAGAGCTTTATGGGCTTTCCTTGCTCGTAATCCAATGAAGAGGGAAAATAAATTTTCCATTTCCTTCTATTTCTCTGCCCTTCCTTACGGTGTGGCCTCATTTTATGTTATGGAAAACATAAAATATTTGATTTTTGGTCTCACCAACGTCATGTATAATCATATTATTTACTGAAAATGAATTAATTAGTTCTTTTAAAAAATGAATTAATTAGTTCTTTTTAAAAAATGAATTAATTAGTTCTTCTAATTTCAAAATCTAATTATTTAATTTTTTTAACAAAGTTAATCATAATTAATTTAATTTTTATTTTATTTTATAAAATATAACCTCTTCTCATCAATCCTTTCATAACTTTTACTTAGTTATTTTATATATATATTTCTTAAAATAAAAATAAAAAGAGACTAAATGATTGAGTTTTGAAACCAAAAGAACTAATTAATTCATTTTTCAGAACGAGAGGCACTAATTAATAATTTACTCTCATTTTTCATCATCTCACCCATTGCCTTTATATTATTTGTTGAGATAACTGCACTATGAGTATATTAATTTTTAATTTTTTTCAATTATGTATATAAATTTTAAGTTTTTTATTTGACTAAATTAATATTTTCAAAACCGTTAATAAAGTATTTTCATCAATTTTTTTGTTAATTGATGACATGTCTATTATCCTTAAAATATTAAATTCTAATTTTATCATTTTTCTCAATCGAATAAATAAATTTTAATTATTTTTATTTAAGTACATTATTTTTTTTAAAATTTTCAATTAAGTATTTCAATCAATTTTTTTGTTAACTAATAATGTATTCAAATATAAAATTATAATTATATCTTTTTATATTGAAGGAAAATTTCTTTCTAAATTATTTTATCATTTTAAAAAAGTTATTAGCGGAATCAAAATAAAAAGGATTAAATAATTAGTTTTTAAAATAAATAAAAAAATTTATTTATTTATTTCTCAAAATAAGAGGGAGTAATTTATAATTTACTCAGAAAAACATTGATTCCATTTCTTTATGTTTTCTTGAAAAAAGAGAAGAAAAAAAAATATATATATATATATATATATATATATATATATATATATATATATATATGAGAAAAGAAGAAAGAGAGCAGAGGTGACGCAGCAGTGCTAGATTCATGGGACGACAGCAGCAGCAGCAGGAAGATAAATGTAGGGGACAAGATTTGGAAAGAGTCTGCGCTCTACAGCATCTCACTTTCACTTACCCATCTATCGTAGGCTCAATTGCGGGGACCAACTCTGCCAAATTTGCCTTTTCTTTTCTTTTCTTTTATGTCACCACCAATCCATCCATCCTTTCCTATCGATTACCGAAATCCTCACCACTGCTTTTCTCACGAGTCTCTTCCAAGTTTTTCTTCCCCCTCCCACAATTCCGAGTTAGAATCAAAGTTCAAAACCAGTTTTAGCCATACGGTAGGATTTCATTAATAAACAAGCATTAACTTGAAAATTAATTCTAAAATTCGATTATTATAATTAATATTTTTAAAATAACTAAAATTATATGTTGAAAAGTACATTTTAATCACATTTCAGAAGGGATTAGTTTTCAGATGTGTAAAAATTAATCCAAAAACACCCTTATTGTTGAACAAAAAAAAAAAAAGAAAAAAAAATCAAGTCTATGCCTCTAGCTTGTAAAATATATCGCAAGATCATGCATTGAGGCCTGCCCTTTAGCCACGTCTAGAAAGTAATAGATGTGCAATGGTTCGACAATACCAAAAAGAAATATATATATATATATATATATATCAAATCTAAGCTTCTTTGGCTTGTAAAATATATCACTATAATCCCTTAATTCTTGAATTGATTATTTAAAATTTCAATAAAATCTTGTTGAAACTTGGAAAACTCATTAAACACGGTGATTAGGGTGTAAATTGAAGCATTTAGTAAGAAGTCAGCCATTAATATGAAAATTTTCTTAATGATCAGAGTCATAATTGAAAAACATAGAAATTTTTTAATATTCCATTTAAAGCAATACACATTCTATGGAGTTAAAGAACAAAGTAATCCCTGTTTGTCTAATTTTGGACCTCTTTCCGCTTCTGTAGGCATATGGGCACGTGAGGGATGTTAATGTAGGAAGAGTTGGCATCTCCATACATTCTACATGGTCGAAAATGAAAATGTCGTCAAGAAAATTAAACTCATCAGCATGGTAGGAAGCGGTAAGATCATCAGACATGTTGGAGTGACAAGCATTAATGGTTTTTTTAATAGACTTTATAACATTCTTCAACAGCCATGCCAATCACACGAGGGCTTGAATTATTATTTTTGTACCTTCTATGAGATAACATAAGGTGTAGTAATAGCTTAAGGTATAAAATATATGGTAATGTGACTTTGAATGTGACATAAATGTTTGAGATAAATTGGAATCTAAGCCAACATCATACACTATGATCTTATAGTACAAAAATAACAGGCATATTAAAAAAAGACTGCTCTAATCATTTAAGCATGTGATTTAAAATTCGAACCTTTCTATATATAAAAAACTCTTCGTATAGTTATATCTCTATTTTGTATGTTCGACGGAATAATAAGAAATCAGTCAGGATTTTAAACTTATATAGAATACCTTAAGGATAAAAAAAATAACAGGCATGACTTGTACATTAATTATTTACTGCAGTTAAATCTGAATATTACATAATTAGCTACTTGGGGTTCTCACATGAGTCTAATAATTTCCCTATTGAATTATGTTACAGAGAAATATGTAGATCAAAATAATTGTCATGCATGAATTCTCGTTATGAGAAATAGCTGTCATGTTTCGCTAGTTGATTTTTTAAAAAATATATATATATTTACGGATAGTAAGTATTTTCAAATCAATTTTCGCATCAATCAAAACTAAATTTATTATTTTTAGGTTAAACTGACATCATAATAAATTTAATTTTTAATCGATTACTAAATTTCTTTTTTAAAGCTACATCAATCTAAATTTAATGTCATTAAAAAATAATTATAATTTATTGTCCGTAAATAATAAGAATTCAATCTTCACCTTCTCGAACTCATAGTCAGGTTTTCAAGTTGAATCCAGTTATGGTTGAAGAAGCCAATTATTCTTCTCGCATGTTGCGGCCGAAATTCAGCTCCTAAGCCGGGTAGCACAATCAGGCCAAATCTATAAAGTTTTTTTCTTTTTGTACTGGTTCAATGAGAATCCGATAGGCTTTGGACTAAACAATAATAGAAGATAAACTTCATCTATTTCTTAAATTCTTGCTTTGATTGAAGAGTGAGCAAAATGGTATACTCATTATATCATAGTCTCTGTAAATTCCTTCATAAAATAGTAATAACAATAATAAAACCATGCATACACACCAAGTTGCGTGGCTTGATTCTACTTTTATCCATCTTATCCATTTTAAGTACTAGTTAATCTAGTTTATAGAATTGATTAATTGCTTTAGCAGAGAAGATATGTTTTTTTTTTCCCCCTTATCCTCTCGGTTTTAGGGCTAAAAGTTTTTTTAAGAGGGGTTTTCGTACATCAAAATTTAATTTCTTTCTTAAATATGAATTTTTTAAAAAATATTCCCACACACATCGACATGGAAAAAAGATATGGACAATCAAATCAAAAGCACAAAAAGTCCCAATACACTTGAGAAAGATCCCAAAAGCGAAGCCACCAAAGCAATAATAGAAAAAGAACAAACGAGCAATGGGGGTTGAGGTCATATCAATCAAAATGGAAATCCTACCCATCAGAAAATGTCAAGGCTAATGCAGATAGATATCATCTTTTGAGGTTCAAGTACTTTCAGATTTCTTGTATAATGAGAAAAGTTTGGTCAAGCAGGAGGTGGAGCCCAACATTGATATAAAGCAAAAATGGCTATCAAAACCATCTCCATGGCTGCCCCCACCGTCCTCATGGTTCTCTCCGTTCACACGCACACCCTAACATGCACAACCACACACATACACCATTTAAGAGAGATTTATTACAGCCAGAGAGAGAGAGAGAGAGAGAGAGAGAGAGAGAGAGAGAGCATCATTCATCATTGATGGATAGATAGAATGTAAGTCCATGAACAGAAGTCAATACCCGAACCACACATTTTTTTTTTCTAGCTGAGTTGGGGTGGCAAGGAAGAAAGGATGGTAGATTTATTGCTACCCCTTCTAAGCAAGAAAGACACATGTATGGTGCGTTCTTGACTCCCTCTTTAAATAACTACTCTTCCAACGTAAATTTTTGCAAAAACCAAAAAAAGGGCTTGTAAAAAAATAAATAAAATTTAGTTGGTGTAGAGTGTAATGAATTGTGGCAGCGAAAACAGGCACCAGCGGCAGCAGCAGCAGCAGTAAATAAGCATCTTTGGTTCTCGATGAGAAGGCATTCAAAGTCCCAACTAACCCCGATACTTAATACCACCAGCAAAAACAGGAATTTCAATTTTCTCTGATCTCCATATTTAAAGATGGTAGAGAGAGAGAGAGGAAACAGTTACGTTTACAGTAGCAGAATCAGGTCGTCAGGAACTAGGACAATTCAAGGCAGCCTTAATTTGCTGGACGGTGGTGCTGATAAGGTTATTAACGGTATTCACTGACTCCAGGTTCAGCTTAGCAGACGGCAAGCTGCTGACTAATATTTGAAATGCTACTGTAATTAGTGAACCACTCGACCTAGCCATGCTTGCTTGTGTATTAGAGCTAGTTGATGCACCATCTCCTTGGTCCGGATGGCCATCAGGTGAAATGGTGAATCCTGATGGCAGCAGGGGTATATAAGAAGGGTCCTCGCCGCTCATTGCTATGTTGATGGCTGGTAGATCAACAGGACAATAGACTACAAGTGAACCTGATGAGTCTACGCAGCTCTCTTGGAGTATTAACATATTGTTCTGACTAGTGTTGTAGGCCTATTACAGAATATTATAGAGAGATTAAATAAGCATTTCACTTTATAAAAAGAAACAGTACACTAAAAGAAGTAGAAAATGAGCAAAACTGAGAGAGCCTTACTCGAAGAACAGATATGCAGTTCCCAGGATGTGACCCATTTGCGATATGGGCAACTTCTTGGACTGCATTGCCGCTAGAGAGTACATCCCACTAAAGAAAAGAGTGTCAAAACCAAAGGCAAAAACATCAGTAGGAAATTTATCAATGAAACATTCTACAAAGTTATTGAACAAGCCATGAATCATCGACTTTCAATTCCAAAATCTATAATACCTGTGGTCGAGTTCTTTCATCCTTGAAGAAATTGAAAACATTTTGAGGAGAAACTGGAAGTGAAAATGTAGTAGCTGCACTTAGAACTACACCATTAGGTTGGCCAGGATCCGTGCTCTTATGAAGTGTAACTCGAACTCCAACATCATTCCCAGATAGCGTGCTCCATCGGTGGCTGTTAGATGTGCTGATGCTAGAACAGAAACTGCTAACCATTCGTTGGGCAAGTTTCATCATGCTTCTCTTACCTTCTTGTGATGGAATTACTGGAAAATGAAACGTTCAGTTAATATCGTGACTAAGAACAAAAATGATGTGATTATGGCTCTGAATTTACCTCCTCCAAGATCCCGGGTTGTATTGCCTGAAACCATTTGACAGGCCACCCTTTCACACATCCTTTGCAGTGTAGCAAGCCACCGTTCAGCTCCAAAGGCCATACCACTGTGAATGAGATCCCTATAAAGCCGATGAGTTGGGGTTTTGTCTTCTATCTCTACATGGTCCACCCAAGTAACCTGTTTCGCACTTCAGATTAATTAACTAAATCCAAAAATAGTTGTACAACTATCACTGTTTTGACATTGAAACACCAAATAACCACATATAATTAAACTCTCAGGAGCAAGTAGACAACCTTTGAGTATCCATTAGGCATATCCTGAATTAAGCATCCAGAGGGAAGCCTATGACATCGAAATTGGGAAGCAAACTGTGGAATATCATATGAAACGCTAACAATTGCCCACAAGCCTTGCTCAATTTGCTGACAATAACGGAGGATACAAAATTCCCTTGTCGGAACCAGGGGTGAAAGCACCTGCAACTCTTCATACATCTGCAAAAAAGCACATTTCATATGATAAACCATTCTTCCAGTGAAACATAGAAATAAAAGTGAGCACTTAAAGCATTTTTTTTCCTTTACCAGTTGCAAGGAACCACTGTGACCACCCAGCATTCCAGATGAAATTACTTCAATGGTCTTTGCCACAGAGACGATCATGGGAAATGATTCAACCCACTTGTTCTGCAAGCTCCAATCAGTGATGCAACTCAGAGACAGCCATAATAATTAAGATATTTTGAGGGTCCAAAAAAATTATTATTAGAGAGTAAGAAAAGGACTTACTGAATCCATAAACATGTCAACCAAGGCTAAACCATTCATGATAACAACACCTGAAACTCGGGATGCTTCAATTCGAACATTGGGATTCTTTAAGTGACTCATAGACCTCGGAAAGATCCTCTGGTAGCTATCGAGATTAAGAACATCTCTCCCATCAGCAGACGATTTCATCCATAAAGGTTCATTGGTTTGCAAAACCCTTAACAACTCCTCCATAGCATTTGCAGCAACATCAGTCATGAGGGATTTGTCCATGTCTGAAATGCCTGGCGGTTGGAAAGCCAAATTTGAACTAGATGGGATAAGATCAAGGTCAAGATCAAGTGAAGGACCACCAATCCCTTGGCCTCCAAAATTCCCCATTGATAAATCCAATGAAGAAATGTGAACAGGTTGCACTGGAGGAAGTTGGGAAATTGGCCTCCCTATGTATTTAGCAGCAATGCTAGAAACTCTATCAAGCTGCAACAACCACATAACACACAACCAAAATTTAGCAAACTATAGCACAAATTGTGCATGAAAAAAATAAAATAAAAAAATAGAGAGGATTCGAAACACAGAAGCAAACCTCTTCTTTCAATTGAGCATTCTCCATTCTTAATTTGTGTTCATCAAAATAGGAATCCTCCGTAACAGGAGGACCCCCACAAGAGGGGCAAATTACATTCTTGAGTGCCTCTCTAATGGCTATATTCTCACATCGGATCTTATCATTCTCAGCTCTAAGAGCACAGTTATCTGCTCTTTCATGTTGAGCCTGAATTGTTTTCCAACAACAACAAAGACAACCTTTTAATTACTCTTAAACAAACATTCAATAAAAACAAAATAAAGAGACAAACGAAGTGAGAATCTTTAATTCACCTTCATCTGGGTCCTCCTGTTTTGAAACCAAAACTTGATCTGTCTTGGTGCCAAACCCAACTCTCTACTTAACTGTAACCTTTGTTTCTCATCTGGGTGTGGACACTCCTTAAACATTCTTCATTCCCACATAGTACAAACAAAAACAAGAAGAAAAACATCAACAACCAAAAGAACAATACTTTAAGCAACATTACACACACATATGTCATATGCCCCCACAAAAGCAACAGTACTAAATCATCAAAAAATGCATGATTAACAAAAACAAAGAGATTGCAATGTGAAAGAGTGCTTACGACTCCAACTTCTGAATCTGATGAGCAGTGTGGCGGTGATAACGCTTCTTCCTCCTTTGGGGGTCCGAGGAGTCATGGTCTCCACCACCACCGCCACTACTTCCCCCTCCAACACTGCCATACTCCATTTCTTTTTCCCAAAAAGAAGACCTTTTTATTATAAACAACAATAAAAGGGAAGGAAGGAGGAGAAGACGAAGCTATTAGTCAGTCCTCTATAGTGCAGAGAAAGAATCTATCAAGAATGATGGCCCATGCTATAATATACCATGACTATAACTACAATAATATTCCTGTAGACTACCAAAAAATAAAAAGGACCTTTTGATTTTTGATTTTTGGGGTTTGAGGAGAAGTTGAGAGGGGTTTAAGCATTTGGTTTTTGAAGGCCTAAAAAGGCCACTGACATAATATCATATCATAAGGAGAGAAACGGCTGGAATGTCAAAGAATTTGGCATGATTTGAGAAGAGTGAGTTAAGGGGAGAGAGATTTTTCAAAAAAAAAAAAAAAAAGATTAAATCTTGGGCTCTAATTAAGTCTCTCCAATTTCTCTCTCTGAAAAAACCAAAAACACCCCACCAAAACACTCCAGCACTGCTCTATGATACCTTACAAGGAGTGTGGACTGTAGTATTTTGCTTAGTAAACTCGTTTGTGAAAATGCGTGTAACTGATGGAGAAGGGGCTTTTAAAGAGGGACAGTCTTGTGGGCTTTCAAATTCTGCGTCATCACCACATTCGAGGGAGAGGAAGGCACAGGAAGGAGAGATGGGAGTCAGTTGGGGGCTCTTTCTCTCTCTAAAATTTAAGACACACACACTCACACTCTCTCTCTCTCTCTCCCTAACTCTCTTTCTTTCTCTCACTAAAACCAAACATTAAGTACTCCTCAACTAGCGTGGTACTGCGATTGCATGCATCGCTCAGTCATGGCCAGATGTGCAAAAACAGAAAGGAAAAATAAAAATTAAGAAAGAGAGAAGGAGGACAAAAAAGAAAGCGGTCGCAAAAAAGTCTAGGTTGCTAGTCAGCCGGGGTTTGATAATTAATCTCCGGCGTGTGATTTTGCATTCTTTCCCGTTTCATTACGTTTGTTGACAAATATAGCCTTTTTGTTTACTTTCTTTTATTGGGATATTATATCTGCCCCTTTGCTTAGCTTTTTTCCCTTTTTTATTGTAGAGTTTGCAAGAATAGACACATCCTTGACTGGAGATTGGTGCTATTTAGTCACTGTCGATCATTAAGACATCCCTTGTTTTGTTGTCAATTTCATTTTATAGCAGTTCAATTTTTTTTTTTTTTTATTTATGAATTCAAATCTTCCCTTTGAATAACTTGTTTATAGGTTAGCAAATAATGAAAATGGATCTAAAAAAAAAGATGATTTTTTTTTGTTCAATAAGAGGTTCAATGGATATTCTACAACATTATAATTGACAAATTATGATCATTAGGATTCAAATTTTGTTTTTTTTTATAAATCAAATATATAATTACTAAACTAAACATAATTCTATAATACAAGATGGTACAATTATTTCTACTATTTAAGGATAAATAGTCATAATTATTCTTTAATGATATCGGACTTGAACTCATTTAGTCTAAAGAAAGAGTTCGATAGTTGACCAAAAGTTTTGATATTGATTTAGTCAAGAAAGTAATAGAATTAGTTTTGGTTGATTCGAAAACCGATATAGATATTATGTTTTTAAAAAATTGGATGAATAATTTGTTTCTAGGTTAGCAAATAATGAAAATGGAACTTTAAAAAAAAAAGATGTTTTTTTTTTCAACAAGAGGTTCAATGGATATTCAACAACATTATAATTGACAAATTATAATCATTAGGATTCAAAATTTGTTTTGAAAAAAATTCAAATATATAATTATTAAACTAAACATACTTATAAGATATAAGATATTATAATTATTTTTAGTATTCACATATTATTAGTCATAGTAATTTTTTTTAGTATCGGACTTGAGCTCATTTAGTTTAAAAAATGAGTCTAAATAAAAAGTTCAGTAATAGATCAAAAATTAAGCGTATTTTGATGCTATTTTAGTGCAAAAGGTAATAAATTTAGTTTCAGTTGATACGAAAACCGACACGAAAATACTTTACTATATATATATATATATATATATATAAGATTTCATTAAAGATTACAACATTAAGAAGCATAACATAATTATTAGAATTTGAATAATCTCGAAATATGTATATTTTTTTTAACTTTTTTATTAAAATTTCGAGACTAACAAGTTTATCTAAACGTATCAAAACGATATAAAAATTATATTTTTTAGATCAATCAAATAGAGAGATTAGTATCTATCTGCGCATAAACAAGTCTAAAAATATCACTTATTTTTCCAATTAAGAAAAAGAAAAAAAAGTAGAATCTGAACCGTATATCGAGGAATCAGAGTGTATTAGAAGCCTTTAATTGTTGTGGTTTAATATATTCCTTAGTAGTTCTTGTTCTTTTACCTCTTTTGTTATTACAGACGCTACAAAACAGTGTAACGAAAGTCAAACTTGAAACCTTTTTGGAGTGAGTGAGTTCTGTCCACGATTCACAGCTAGCTCACCACAAAATCACAATTCTTTTGAGTAGGACCTGGGCTTGGACCCCACATTATAACCCGTTTCTTTTAACTTATGTCACGTGGACCACAAACCTAAAACCCTTCTTCGGATTCATGTCAACTCTCTACTTTCTTTTCCAGTCATATTTTTCAATGCATGTTGACAACGAAAGGAACCAAACAAAAGCCCTGAAAATATTCAATCCATATATATATATATATATATATATTCTCTTACTCGTTTATGCTTCAATCAAGCTCCCCTTTTCTATAAAAGCAAGCGTTTTGGCCCCCATACAATCATACACGTGAGGAATAAGGTATTATTATTATTTTTTTTTAATAAAACGTAAATGAAAAATCTTGTTAGTGTTTTTAGTTTTAGTTTTTTTTATTCAACAGATATTGTTTCTTCATTTAAAAAATTCCACTTGCTCATTTGTATGTTTTATTCTTGTTAATGTATGGAATTTGAATTTAAAATGGTACTTGTTTGAAATAATTAAATTTTATTGTTTTTATTTTGAACAGAATTAATCTAATTTTTAATATGAAGAAAAAAAATAATTTGCTCATATTAATTGTATTTTTTTTATTCAAAGGATATTTTTAAATTAATTTATACTCAAGTTAATCAAAATTAAATGTTTTTATATTTAGCGTCCATTTCTTCTTTTGGAATTTTGTTTTGAGAATGTCCTTTCGTTTAGATTTGATAGCAATTTCGAATAATTTTGTACCTCTTTAGAGAAGAGGATATTATTCCATGACATGCTGAGTACAAAAAAGGAAAATTGGGGAAACTCCAATCTAAAAAAAATAATAATAAAAGGAAAGAAAAACAAGTGCAATGACAACCGCCTAACTTTGGCCCCTTTTTCCATGGTTCCAACGTGTGGCACTTCCATTGACTCAAACGTTATTTACTTTTCACACGTCACCAAGGGAAAAACAGACGGTTGGATCATAATCATAAATCTCCAATTTCATTTCATTTACTTTTATTTTTTTTAAGTGTCATAAATCTCCTCTCTAATTCTATAGAACACTCCCTTTTTGAGAGAAGGAACACATCAATTTTTTATTTTATTTTTTTTATCATCAGAATATGAAGTTTAAATATTCAGACTAATTAATCATTATTTTGTTAAATGTATAAAACAAAAATAATTATTTAAGAAAAAAAAATATATATATAAAGAATCGAATTTAATATTATTTACTGAAAGGATTAAAATTTCTTTCATTAAAATCAACCCTCATAATTAGAAAGAGGGAACCATTTCATTGCATGGATAAGTATAATTAATAATCATCACTCTCTTAAATAACTGGTAGGATGAGCCGTGCACGAAATCCGAGTTGTAAAAGAAACAAAAACGAGCTGTGGAGGTTGTTACTGGGCAGTGAATGATGTTGGTCGCAAAGGGAAATGGTGGCGTTGGCGGTGGTTGCAACCGTCATAATTGTGTTTTTGCCCGGCTAAGAGCAAAACAATAATGCTCTAATAATTTACCATGATTTGAGATTAAAGATGTGCTTTAAAAGGGCTTACATTAAAATGAAGAAACAATCCAGAGACCAAATTAATTTATTTATCATTCCATAAATTAAGCAGACAACATTCTTTTAAAAAAAAAAAAAAAAAGAACCGAAGACATTTTATATATAGGATTTCAGTGACAGTCTTTAATGTTATTTGAACTTGCCATTAAAGAAAAATAACAGATATAATGATTGAATATAATGATCACTACAATGGTTATTTGGGTCTTCTTCAATATATACTAGTAGTTAACCTATATATATATATATATATATATATATATTATTGAATTATTAGTCTTATGAAATAAAAAACAACACAGAGAACCATACATTTTTGTGGTGCACTTTTATAGATACATGTCACTCACCTATTTATCAATGATATATATATATATATATATAGAAATTGTAAATATTTCTATTAATTAAACAATTTTTGAAAAAAAAAAGGATCTCTCACTAAAAGAAAGAAGAAGTTTTCGAAAATTTTATTAAAAAAAGAAAATAAAAAATTTTCAGCAAAGAATTCGTCAAAGATATGTCCTAAAACTTTGAATTTCTTCTTTTTTAAAAAAATATCTCATTTTCTGTTATTTTTTCTTTATAATTTTTTTTAATATACAAAAAAAGCGGAGTAAATTATAAATTAGTTCCCCTCATTTCAAGAAATGAATAAATTAATTTTTTTTAAGCTAATCATTTAGTCCGTTGCATTTAATTTTGTCAATAATCTATTTTTTTCGTCAACTTTTTGTTAGAGATGATAATGAAGTATTCTTACAATAATTTTTTTTAAATTACCTTTTTTCATTTATTATTTTTCTCTTTCACACATTCTTTTTCTTTCCTCAAGCACCAAAACAAATTCCTATTTCTTTTTTCAAATCTCCACCTTTTATTTTATTAATTTCCATTGTCTTTTTTTTTCATATATATATATATATATTAAAAAAAACTTAATGGTGAGATATTAAGTAAT